TACATATCAAGGAGCAAATCAGTGGAATTAATTCCAACACGAATACGGAATTATTAGATGATTCTATTTTGACGTCTTCAAGGAGTTAGCAAAGACCATGAGATTATAAACACGAGATCTTCATGTTATTATTCTTTGTTTTGCTTGATGTATATACCGACGATCCCAAATTTCATGTTAGTCTGACACAGAACATCAACATAAAGGCAGCTCTCGGTTGACGGTTGGAATCCTCTCTCTTCCTTTATATAATTTGATCACTTATGTAAGTTTTAACCATAAATTAATTTCATTTTAATCGCATGGACAAATTATAACTTTAATTTTACGTCCATACAGTAGGCACTAATTGGAGGTTTATATTTGCCATCACCGATTACTATTTTTCGGAAATCAATTTTAAATTAGGAAACTTTGTTTTTCGTGCACTCCAATGATGAAAATTGTCATAACATTTTATTGACTCTTGACTGAATTTCATTGTCATTTACATATTATGCTGTATTAATTATTAATTATTATGCTTATACGCAATTAAGTTAAGTCCGACGATTATAGCTGTTTTATCTAACTTTTTGCGTATTGACGCATTGCGTTCGATTATTAACTCATTTTATGTATATTATCAAATTATTATAAAATAACTGGTCAATATCAATTTATTTTATTATTGTTCGACATCATCTTCTCAATTTTATTTATTTTGTTACATATGTATAAGTGCTTTTGCTTTCTGAAAAAACTAAGTAAGTCGAAACATAAACTATTTGTATTTATATTATTATAATGAAATCGTTTTCGTTGGTTTAAACTAGCATCTTTTGTTTTGCTCAAGAGTTGACGGTTTGATTTTCACTTTAACTTTATTTTTATCGAGCTTTTATTGTAGTTTTCTTGTACTGTATATATTCAACATGACATTTATGTAAATAATAAGTAATCTATGAGAAGGCCATCGAAAGTTCATACTTTGTCAGAAATATTAAAAATTTGTAATTTGCTTGCATTTTTATTTTCAGCACTATTATCACCTTGAACACAATTTTGAGGATATAAGGAAAAATTAACAATAGTTTTAAATATTTTGATTTTATACACATGAGAAAGAAATTAAATATATTATATATGCATATTGTGTGTATATTGCTGTGAACTAAGCAATACAGTTTTTTGCCTACGTAGAAAAGGTTCGTATAAAAACAACATAAACCATATATACAGTCTGTCTAGTCTATAATGTGACTAATTTTTTTAAATTTTTTCCTGCAGCGTCGCCTCTTGATAAGTTGACAGTACCCTCATTGACATTCGTTAAACAA